AAGGCTCTAGAGGGGATGGAGGAGAAGTCTAGGGGACCGCCCTTGCAGATGAGCTCGGAGGACAGCACGTTACCCACGCAGTAGGAGAAAAGGCCGAAGTAGCCTGCTTGCGGTGTGTTGACGCTGTCGCCGATCCAGTAGGGCTGGATGAAGAGGGCCATGACCAGCACGGAGAAGCAGATGGTGAGCGTGCCCCACATCACGCCCACGGCCCGCGCGTTCCGCACATAGTTGGTATGGTAGATCTTGGCTGCCTCCTGGGCCGGCAGCAATTTCACCATGGTGAGGGCAGCAGGCCCTGGGCTGGGGTCCTGTGGGCTGCAAGTCCGTGGCTTTGTGGATGGAAGCCTAGAAGCAGGTCACCGCCCGGCGGGGTTTGGGGAGAAATCTGTGGTCAGGGCACCAGGTGAGGTCCCTCCAAGGCAAGGGGAAGAGGCTTAACAGGACAAGGACAGCCTTGGCTTGGTCAAGGGAAGTTTGCCAGGTGCCTGTATCTGCTCCAGCCAAGGCTGTCTCCAGTCTCCTGCCTCCTCCCAAGCCCGCCAGGGTCTCAGGCCTGCTGGCGCCGCCCTGCCCCTCTCCCTTCCCGGCTCACAGCTCCCGAGAGCCCCGCCTCCTCCTCCGTCGGCGGAGGGCGCCGTTTCAGCACCGCGGCCAGCGCCCAGGGGTTCTGGGCGAGGGGCGGGGCCTGCAGCAGAGCCGGGGACGGGGCAGAGCGCCCACTACAGGCCCCCGCCACGGGGAATCAGGACCCCGTTCACCTTCCTGAACCAAGACAAGAATTGGAAGGGGTGGGGCTGCGGCTGACACATTCCTACTGCTAAATTCCAGCCGCAGAAACGCTTTCCCCCCGCACAAGCTTTGTCCACATCCCATCTCACCCCGTATCTGCCCGGCTTCCTAGTCGCCTTCCCAGAGCGTCCAACCTCACCACCCCGGAGGTCAGCAAAGCCTTTTCTGGTTGTCTTCTGGTCACTGGTTTTTCGTCCTTATCATTCAATCAACAATTTCTAAAAGCCTAACTGTATGTTAAGGTTATGTTGGAGGACATCTAAGCAAAACCACAGAGAAAAAAGACAGGGCCCTGCCCTCAAAGACAGTGAGAAATTTACATATATAATATATGTATATATGTAGTCTATATAAATATATATAAAATGTCTGTATATGCAGATTGATTGTGTGATAACAGAAGCAACTACAAAATATAGCAAACAACATCCTTTATGAACCTTCGCAGACCTGAACGTACATGCTTTGTTCAATACAATGTCTTTCTCCCCTTGTTTCTATGTGGTTGTTACATATTTTTCCCTTTAAATATATATACACGGTTATCCTGATTTTATAGGTAAATACATGGCTAGTGTAGAGAACTAGGAAAATTCAGGAAAGTATACACAAAAAAATAAAAATCATAACACCAACATCAGGAGCTAAGAAAAGAAAAGACCATCTTAAAAACATGGACTTTGGCTTTCAACAGACCTAGACTTGAACGAGCTACTTACTGGCTAAGTAATCATCCATGGACTTAACCTGCCTTCCTAAGCCTCAGTTTCTCCATCTATTAAATGCAGGAAATGATAGTATCTATCACGTAAGGGCTGGGTAAAATACATTTTTAGCCCAGGGCACATATAAAAGTGCTCAAAGGCCAGGCATGGTCTCTAATACCAGCACCTAGGGAGGCCAAGCAGTCAGATCAGTTGAGCTCAGGAATTCTGGACCAGCCTGGGCAACATAGAAAGACCCCTGCCTCTACAAAAAAATACACAATTTAGCCAGGTGTAGTGGTGCCCACCTGTAGTCTCAACTACTTGGGAGGCTGAGGAAGGAGGATCACTGGAGGTCAAGGCTGCAGTAAGCCAAGATAGCACCAGTGCACTCCAGTCTGGGCAACAGAGAGAGACCCTGTCTCAAAAAAAAAAGAAAGTGTTCAGGCTGGGCACGGTGGCTCACACCTGTAATCCCAGCACTTTGTGAGGCTGAGGTGGGCGGATCATGAGATAAGGAGCTCAAGACCGGCCTGGCCTACAATAGTGAAACCCTGTCTCTACTAAAAATAAAATATTGAAAATAAAAATTAGCCAAGTGTTGTGGCACATGCCTGTAGTCCCAGCTACTCAGGAGGCTGAGATGGGAATTGTTTGAAACTGGGAGGCAGAGGTTGCAATGAGCTGAAACCATGCCATTGCACTCCAGCCTGGAGCGACAGAGTGAGACTTCATCTCAAAAAAAAAAGAAAGTGCTCAAAGATGTTGGTGATTATTATGATTTCTGTTAATCTCTGCATTTTCCTCCTTCTGAACATATCCTTTACACAGTTGGATAATGTTTGCACAATTTTCTATACATTTTTTTACTTAGTATTACAATGTTAGTATTTTCTTTTCTTTCTTTTCTTTTCTTTTCTTTTATAGAGACAGGGTTTCACCATGTAGGCCAGGATGGTCTCAACCTCCTGACCTCGTGATCCACCCACCTTGGCCTCCCAAAGTGCTGGGACTGCAGGCGTGAGCCACCAGTCTTTTTTTTTTTTTTTTTTTTTTGAGATGGAGTCTCACTCTGTTGCCCAAGCTGGAGTGCCGGAGTCCAGTGGTACGATCTCAGCTCACTGCAACTTCCACTTCCCAGGTTCAAGTGATTCTCCTGTCTCAGCCTCTGGAGTAGCTGAGATTACAGGCATGTACCACCACACCCAGCTAATTGTATTTTTAGTAGAGGCGGGGTTTCACCATGTTGGCCAGGCTGGTCCCGCAATCCTGACTTCAAGTGATCTACCCGCCTTGGCCTCCCAAAGTGCTGGGGTTACAGGCTTGAGCCACTGAGCCCAGCCCTCCACTTTTTTAGTATTAAAAACAACCCTGGCCGGCCAGGCGCAGTGGCTCACACCTGTAATCCAAGCACTTTGGAGGCCAAGGTGGGCGGATCACCTGAGGTCGGGAGTTCAAGACCAGCCTGACCAACATGGTGAAACCCCATCTTGAGAAAAAAAAAAAAAAACCCTACCGGCCGGGGTGCATTTTTGTATCAGTGGAACCAAATGGGTTTTTCCCATTTTGAGGGTCTCCTGGCTGTTTCTCCAGCTGTTCCTTTACATTCCACACCTCAGGGATGTAAAGATGAGAAGAAGGGGGTCATATTACATGCAGCCATGTGCCAGGCACTTCCAAAGGGGTTTCACATACATTGTTTTAATCCTGACCTCAGGAAGTAGGAGTTATTATCCCCCGAAGGTAAATCAGGAAAGTGAGGTTCAGGGAGCTTCATTTTCAATACTGTGTCTCAGGTCATGTAGCTAGTAAATGCAGTTTTGAAGCCAGCTTGGTCTGGATTGAAGCTGTGCTTGAGGCTGGGCACAGTGGCTCACACCTGCAATCTCAACACTTTCGGAGGCTTGCTGGAACCCAGGACCTTGAGACCTGGGAGGCTGAGGGGGAGAATTGCTTGAGCTCAGGAGGTGGAGGCTGCAGTGAGCCAAGATGGCACCACTGCACTTCAGCCTAAGTGACAGAGTAAGGCCTTGTCTCAAAAAATTAAATTAAATTAAATTAAAAGCTGTGCTTGGTCGGTCGCGGTGGCTCACACCTGTAATCCCAGCACTTTGAGAGGCTGAGGGGGGCGAATCATGAAGTCAGGAGATCGAGACCATCCTGGCCAATACGGTGAAACCCCATCTCTACTAAAAATACAAAAAAAATTAGCTGGGCTTGATGGCAGCAGTAGTCCCAGCTGCTCGGGAGGCTGAGGCAAGAGAATCACTTGAATTTGAGAGGTGGAGGTTGCAGTGAGCTGAGATCGTGCCACTGCACTCCAGGCTGGCGACACAGACCAAGACTCTGTCTCAAATTTTAAAAAAATGCTGTGTTTGAGGCAACCCAATTTGTGCCTCTCAGTGGAGCTGTCTTGTCTACCATCTCCTGGGATGGAGACGGGAAGGGCAAGGGCCTCTGGCTGCCATGACCAGTCCTTCAGGAAAAGCTGCTCTGTTCCCATGCCTGAACAAACTCAGACACCTGTGCCTTTCCCAGCTTCCTGAGGCCTCTGCTCCATCTGAGGATCACGAGACCTCTTCATTCTCAGCCAGGACTAGCGACTGCTCATGTGCACATATGGCCTTGGGTAGGGGACAGCGTGAGTGGATACCTTAATGAAAGGGGAGTCTGATGCTGGAATTGCAGATAATAAGTGAGGTAGAAAGGAAAGGGGCGAGAGACATGTAGGAAGGGCCTCCTAAGGGCCCTTGAGTCACTCCTGCAGGCAGCCCCCTGGTGTGAGGACAGGGGAGGGTGCCAGAGTGACACCTTGGCCTGCCGGGGGTGCAGAGCTGTCAGCCCCAGGGACCTGGGCCTGCCCTGGATTCCCCCAGGGAAACTGAAGGAAGGTTGAGGGATGGAAGTCTGGGAGCCCCAGCCCTGGAGTCTGACACAGATGGACACCTGGGCCTGGGTCAGCCAAAGGCAAGGCCTGACTACAGTGAGGCAGAGAGGCCCCAAGAAGACAGAGTATAGGCAGGCATTCATGCTGTAGGTGCCGCTCTTGCCTCGGACTCATCCAGGTACTGCCCAGGAGCTTGGGACACAAGGGCAGCTACCCTTACCCACTGCTTATGTGGCATATGGGAATACACAGCATAAATATATTCTTATACTTGTATACAATAATGTTTATATATCTGTAACACATATAAATGTGTATTAATTCAACCCTCACAACTCTTTATCCTTAGTTGACAGATAAGATGAAAGGCAGAATAATAGTTGGAAGAGTCAGCAAGTTTCCCTCACTAATAACTTGTACAGCTAAAAGTGTACCACAGTCCACACTCTTAACCATGATGCAACACGACTATCACCAACACACCACACACACACACATGCACACACACACACACACACACACTCAAAAGGCCATCAGGTACCCGCCCATCTTCCTTATCAGGACCCACCCCCCAGCAGATTGGCCACAGCTGCGCCTCTGCCCACGGTCCGCCCTGTGGGATACAGGTGGGTCACGTGAGGTCAGGGCCTCTTTTATAGCCCCATCACCACAGCTGGCTCTGTCTTCTGCCACCCACACCAGCTGTCCCACTCGCCATGGAGAAGATCCTGATCCTCCTGCTCGTCACCCTCTCGGTGGCCTATGCGGCTCCCGACCCACGGGGGATTATTATAAACCTGGTAAGAGAGCCTTCAGAAGGGGGCCTCCTGAGTCCCCAGGTGGAGATGTCGTAAGCGTGGACCTTGACCTCTGATGTCCCCACCTGGACTGGCAGGGGCTGGGAGGAGTGGCATCTCACATCCCTCAGTTTACTGCCATGTCCTGTCCTGTGCCTCTTTCTGGGGACCACAGGAAAGGCTGATCAGCTCCTCTCCAGCTCCAACTTGACCATGCTCAGAGCAGCAGCTCAACCTGGCTATGAGGGAGCTTTATAAAAATCCAGAGCCTTGGGCTTCCATCCTGGGAAAATGCTTTGCCAATCATTCCAGCTTCTGTGCATCCGACACAGCTCGGGATGCTTGGTCACGGCTAGGAAAGCCCTTCCAGAACATCCACACAATTAAAAGGTTCTGAACTCTCTTAACTCAGGGCCATGGGTGGACCTGGAGGTCCAGGACCCTTGGAGATTATAGGTCAGATCTGTTGGGAGAAGAAGGAGTCTTGCAGAGAGATGCAATTTTCGCAATCTCCTCAAAGGAATGTGGGACCCAGAGACGCTTGGAGAGCCTGTCTAGGGGCCTCATGTGCACATTCCAGATGGGAACTCTGAGGCTTGGGAGGCAGTGACTTGCCCAGTCACACAGGGAGTTGGTAGTACAGCGGTACTAGAATCTGGGGGTCCTGACCCCTTCCCTGTGCAGGGCTGCGTTTCTGTCACCGCATCCCCACTTCTCATGTGAGTGGGGGACACAGAAGCCTCCAAACTCAGAGGTTGGATTCCTTCACACACATCTCCACCAGGGGAGACACTGTCAGCGTAGCAGTTGGCAGGTGTGGGTCTGAGTGGAGAAGGGACCCGAGGGAGTGGGTCCTGGGCTGACCGGCTGCCCCTGGCAGGAGGAAGGTGAGCTCTGCCTGAATAGTGCCCAGTGCAAGAGCAAATGCTGCCACCACTCGAGCTTGTTGGGCCTGGCCCGCTGCGCACCACTGGCCAGCGAAAACAGCGAGTGCTCTCCCAAGGTGGGTGCCTGAGGACTTGGCATGGGTGGGGGAGAATGGGGAGGAGGGCCCTGAATGCTTGTGAGTGGGGTCAGGGAAGGGGGTCAGCCTGGACACTGAATGTTGAGGAGGCGAGAGGGAGGTCGACAGGTGTCGAAGCACTTTCCCATCCCATCATCTTTCTTAACCCTCCCAAGTGACCAGTGAGATGGGTGGGGCTGGGGATTTGTTATCCCCGTTTCATGGCTGGGTAAATAGAGGCTCCCCAGAGAGATCAAGCTAGCAACAGCAAGTGAGCCAGAGCAGAGGTCAGAACTGGGGTCTCCAGGGCCCACGGCACCCCTGGGGAGGCAGGTGGGAGAGGCACTCTCCAAAAACACAGGCTGGCCTATTGGTTCTCTAGGTCAGGCAGGGAGCAAGTGATGTCCAAAGTATCCCCCCATTGCCTTGACTCCACTGGCTGTGTCTCTGCAGACGCTCTACGGGGTTTACTACAAGTGTCCCTGTGAGCGTGGCCTGACCTGTGAGGCAGACAAGACCATCACGGGTACCATCACCAACACCAACTTTGGCGTCTGCCACGACATTGGGCGTTCCAAGCAGTGAGACCGCCCACCCACTCCCAAGCCTAGTCCAGCGTGCTGCAGGCCTCAAGATGCAGGGGCATCTTTCCCCTGCTCCAGGGCCTCTCCTGGGCTGGCCACCTCCTTGACCAGCGCCTCTGTCTTCTGATTGGGCTCTTGACAATTAAAGGCCTCCCGCAAACCTTTCCCAGTCTCCTGCATATTCTTTCGTTCTGAGTCAGCGTCTTCCCTGAAGTTGCATCACGCCTTTGGCACACTGGGGCAGGCTTCAGGCAGGTGAGAAGAAGCAGGGATGGCCTGGGGCCGGGGAGGATGCGACGAAACAGATTGAAGACTGGAGACAAAGCTGTGAAGGAGGCCCAGCCAGCCCGGGAAGCTCTCCGTTTCTGGGGAGCAGTCACACCTACCTGGGATGCCCTCCTTGTCCCTCTGGTTCTCAAAGAGACAAGCGGGCACACACACACACACACACACACACCCTCGTGGGTAAGTTTTAATGCCCATGTTCGTCACGCTGCATCAGAGCTTACTAGTCCCCTGTCCTGGGCTCTCATCTCTTTTCTGGACATAATTCTCAAATGTGACAGCTAGTTGACATAACTCATGTGTTAAGGGGTCAGACCACTTACAATTGCTGTGAGCTTACTCTGTTGAGATTCACTGGGGTTGGCTGGCAAAATATTACGGAAAATAGTAAAGATATATTAGGGAAAGTCTCAAACCTTTTGGAAGGCCAAAAGGTTTTATTGGGGCAAGCCGAAGGCGACCAGCCGTTCCATTAAGTTAAGTTAGGGAGCCAGGCGCGGTGGCTCAAGCCTGTAATCCCAGCACTTTGGGAGGCCGAGGCGGGTGGATCACGAGGTCAAGAGATCGAGACCATCCTGGTCAACACAGTGAAACCCCGTCTCTACTAAAAATACAAAACATTAGCTGGGCATGGTGGTGCGTGCCTGTAATCCCAGCTACTCGGGAGGCTGAGGCAGGAGAATTGCCTGAACCCAGGAGGCGGAGGTTGTGGTGAGCCGAGATCGCGCCATTGCACTCCAGCCTGGGTAACAAGAGCGAAACTCCGTCCCCCCCAAAAAAAAAAAAAAAGTTAGGGAGACAGAGAGCGGATCAGAGGCCTCATCCCACACCCATTTGTCTCCACTCTGTTTACGCATGTTAATTTTGTGCTGGGTGGCTCTCCCTGGGGAAGATCAAAAGGGAATTACCTGTTAATAGCATTTACTCTGGGCCCAGGAATCTAAAGCTTTTGTCAGTCGTAAAACCACTCTTTTAACCGTGTTAATTATCCACAAGTGCGTTAACTTAGAACCTCTGTTGTAAAATCTTAAAGAAATAAATATGTGGACAGACAGAGGGTCTGGTTGGATTGGATGCATTTCACCCTCTGAAAGCAGCCAACGGGCATCCCTAGCCCACTGAAACTCTGTGATAGTGTGAGAGTGCATTCATTCATCCATCATTGAGTCAGAGTCTGCAGGTCAGGCTTCCGCAGACGGTGTCCCACGTCCTAGGTCGTGACCCTGACGTGATCAAGGGCACATTACTCTGTGCCAGCAAATGCTCACAAGGATCGTAGGAGGGGGATTTTCATATCTCCACTTTATGGATAAACCAAACTTCATAGACCAAGCTTCAGAGAGGTTAAGGAACTTGCCCAATGTCACATAATCAGAAAATGTTGGCACTGTACCATCTAACTCCACTGCTTCCCTTCTATGATTCCTTTTTCTTTTCTTTCTTTTTTTTGGGACGGATTCTCACCCTGTTGCCCAGGCTGGAGTGCAGTGGCACAATTTCGGTTCACTGCCACCTCCACCTCCCAGGTTCAAGCAATTCTCCTGCCACAGCCTACCCTAGTAGCTGGGATTACAGGCACTGGCACAAGCCCGGCTAGTTTTTGTGTTTTTAATAGAGATGGGGTTTCATCATGTTGGCCAGGCTGGTCTTGAACTCCTGACCACAGGTGATCCACCCGCCTTGGCCCCCAAAGTGATGGGATTACAGGCGTAAACCACCGCACCCAGCCCATACCCTCTTCTTCTCTTTCTCTTCATATCTCAGTGCCTAGAACTGGGTTATCTGACTATCTCTAGCTGCAAGGGGTGCTGGGAAAGCAAAGGGAATAAGATCCCTCTCTTGGGGCCAGGCACTTTGATGCCCAAACAATATTGGGTTTCAGTTGGCAGGGAAGGGGGCAGGGAAGAGGGCAAGGGCTACCGTGAAACCAGGTTATGGTGTCTGCCACATATGAATTACGTGCTCAACAAGAGGAGCCTTCAATGCCTTAACCCAGGAGGGGTCTCAGGCCCTGAGGCAGAGCTAAGTCATGCTCCTTGGTGCCACATTCGGTCCTAGAGATCTGCGTTCACGTCCTCCTCAGGTGTCCACTGAATGACCGTACTGTGGCTGGCACCATGTTTTAGACTGTGGGAGGGGGGCATAAGGAAAATGTCCCTGGTCTCCAAAAGTGAGTAGAGAGTTAGGTTTTGGGCTCTGCAGGAGCAAGTGACCAAGACCCCAAACATGATATAGCTTGCATTTTATTCCCATCAATCAGTGCTGCTGTAGACTCTCCATTTCTGCTGCTTTTGGGGATCACTGGCCTGCACAGCAGAGGCACAGTCTAACCACAGCTCAAAGAACCAGACAGTCCCAACTCACAATGGTTTGACTGACAATTTTTCCACTTTATGATGGTGTGAAAGCGATATGCATTCAGTAAACGTCAACAAGTTGCATGAGATATTCAACACTGTCTTCTAAAATAGGCTTTGTGTTGGGCTGAGGAGGCCGAGGCAGGCAGATCACCTGAGGTTAGGAGTTTGAGACCAGCCTGACCAACATGTAGAAACCCCGTCTTTACTAAAAGTACAAAATTAGCTGGGTGTGGTGACACATGTCTGTAATCACAGCTACTCAAGAAGCTGAGGCAGGAGAATCTCTTGAACCCGGGAGGTGAAGGTTGCCATGAGTCAAGACTGAGCCATTGCACTCCAGCCTGGGCAACAAGAGCAAAAACTCCATCTCAGCCTCTCTGGATTCTGACAACAGCAGCCTCTACCAATGACCACTTTTCCCATAGGGGCAGCGGAATCACCATGGGTTGTGAAGGGGTCTAGAAAATGCCACAGTGGCATAAAAATTATTTTGAGCAGAAGGCATTTGAGAATGGGCCTTTTTCTTTCTTGCTTGCTGGAAAGCAGTGGTGCGATCATGACTTACTGCAGCCTCGACCTCCTGGTGCTCAAGTGATCCTCTCGCCTCAGCCTCCCAAGGCTAAGACTGCAAGTGCATGCCACCTCCTGGCTACTCTTTTGTTGCTGTTGTTGTTGTTTGTTTTTAGACACAGGGTTTCACCATGCTGCCCAGGCTGGATGAGAACAGGCTCTTTTCTGAACTCTGCCTGCCTGAATGCAGAGTCCTGCAAAAGAGCTCCATTGTCATAAATCCGCTTCCCAGGAGTTTCTCAAAACCAGGGAAAATGGACTCATTGTTGAAGAGGAGAAAAGTCAGCACCACACCTAAGCAGTCAGGTCAGCCAGGTGTGGTGGCTCACGCCTATAATCCCAGCACTTTGGGAGGCTGAGGTGGGCAGATCACGAGATCAGGGGTGCGAAACCAGGCTGACCAACATGGTGAAACCCCGTCTCTACTTAAAAATACAAAAATTAGCCAGGCGTGGTGGCGTGCCCCAGTAATCCCAGCTACTTGGGAGGCTGAGGCAGGAGAATTGCTTGAACCCGGGAGGCAGAGGTTGTCGTGAGCCGAGATCGTGCCATTGCACTCCAGCCTGGGTGACAGAGCGAGACTCTGTCTCAAAACAAAACACAAAACAGGTCATGAAACTATCAAATCTCCCATCTTTTCTCCTAAGGGCCCATTGATCTTTCCTAAAAATTACTTTCCTGTGAGTGCCCTTTCTCCTCCTCCCCTTCTTCTGTTGAGATGGTACATAATCCTCAAATTCTAACTTCCTCCTAGAGTCACATTTTTACGTGAACTGCCCTACATTCTGAAAAATAATGTTGTCTCTCTTTTAGCAGTTTAATTCTCAGGCCTTCAAGTACTGAACTGAGGATAGAGGAAAAGTTTTTCCTCCGCCAACACTTGGAACCAGTTTAATCATATCAGCAACTTATCTTGCCCCCAACTCCCTTTCTTTTTTGTTTTCTCCACATGAGGCTAAAAATGTTTATGAAAAAATATTAACAACTTTGTTTTAAAGCATTTTATGTTCCTGGATGAAAATATTCAATATTGGAAAGAAAGTAAAATTTCAGCTGGGCACAGTGGCTCATGCCTGTAATCTCAGCACTTGGAGAGGCCGCAGCAGGATTGCTTGAGGCCAGGAGTTCAAGGCCAGCCTGGGCAACATGGTGAGACACCCCATCTCTACAAAAATCTTAATTAGTTAGGCGCGGTAGCACACACCTGTGGTCCCAGTTACTCTGGAGGCTGAGATGGGAAAATCACTTGAGCGCAGAAGGATGAGGCTGCAGTGAGCTGAGATGGAGCCACTGCACTCCAGCCTGAGTGACAGAGTGAGACCCTGTCTCAAACAAAACAAAATAAAATCATAAAATTTCCTCAAATTAATTTTTTTAGACAGGGTCTTGCTTTGTTGCCCAGGCTGGAATACAGTGGAGCAATCTTGGCTCACGGCAACCTCCGCCTTCCAGGTTCAAGTGATTCTCCTACCTCAGCTCCCCAAGTAGCTGGAACTATGGGCATGTACCACCATGCCCAGCTAATTTTTATATTTTTAGTAGAGAAAGCATTTCACCATGTTGGCCAGGCTGGTCTCGAACTCCTGACCTCAGTGCTGGGATTACAGACATGAGCCACCATGCTTGGCCCAGAAGCTTTTCAGTATGTGGTCCCATTTGTTTATTTTTGCTTTTGTTGCCTGTGCTTTTGGTGTCTTATCCAAAAAATCATTGTCAAGACCAATGTCGTGTAATAGTTCCCCTGTATTTTCTTCTCAGAGTTTTACGGTTTCAGGTCTTACATTTAGGTCTTTAATCCATTTTGAGTTTATTTTTGTGTGTGCTATAAGATAGGGGTCCAATTCCATTCTTTAGCATGTGAATATTCAGTCTTCCCAACACCATTTATTGGAAAGACTATCCTTTCCCCATGGTGTCTTCTTGGTGCCCTTGTTGAAACTTAGTTGACTGTACAGGCTTGGGTTTATTTCTGGGCTTTGTATTCTCCCCTTCCTGTTCTAACTTCTTAGACGTTGGGTATCCTTGGAAGCTGAGTGTCCAGCCTGCCACCTCTCCTTCTGTGGTCATTTCATAGGTTTTTTCTGAATGGGGACAGCTCATGTAACACGATGGAAATCTGGTTATCTGTTTGATACATTTAGTACAGGACAGCATATTCTACCAAGATATGTTTCACATCATTTTGCTGTGACTTACAAGGGGGTGTTCTAAGTACAACCATAGCTTACCTCCAAACTCCTGAACCCTTGCATCCTAAGCCCAACATCCTGGAGGGCACGTTTGGCTCGGTTCTGGTGGCTGAATGTGGATCCTTAGGTCCAAAATCTGAATTAACTCCAAAATGTAACCTGAATATAACAGGCACTACACACAAATAAGCAAGCTAGCATCTGACTCGAAAAGCCTCACACACACAGTGAGACTTCCTAAAACTCCACTTGACTCATTCTCTCCCCAACCCCACACTGCAGTCGTTCCTCCAGTCTTTCTTTCTCACTTTCCTAGGCTCTCCTTCCTTCCTTTCTTCCCTTCTTGTCCCCCTCTTCTCTTGCCTCTCAAAAGATTCAGATTCAGCACTTTCCAGCTGTGTGACCTTGAACAAGTTGCTCAATCCCTCTTTCCCTACCTGTAAAACACAGAGGATAACAGGACAGACAGCACAGCTTTGTTGTAGGATTAAATGAGATCATGTGTGTAAGGCCCCTGGCATCTAGGAAGTGCTCAATAAACACCGTCAATTCTTTATACACATGGATGTTTTGTGTTCCTTCTTTCACATTTCTGAAATTTAAGGTCATGGAACTGAAATATCAGGTATAAACTGGGGGTAGATTATAGACTGGGCTGAAGGCAGAAAGGGGTTGGGGTGGGAAGGGAGCTTTGGTCTCCTGTGGGAGACTTTCATTCATGCCCCAACTGGGGAAAGACCCCAAGCCCAACAGTGTCCCTTCCTGCTTCCTCCATCATTTCACCTCCCACCTGCCAGAAACCTGTACCATGTCCACCCAGGCCCCAACTCTGTGGGCTGCAAACATTGAATGCTCTTTATTTCAATGATGGGGCATCACTCCTTCCTCCTTCCCTCCACTCACGGCGGAGGCTCCGGGGAACAAGGCGGAACCCAGAGCTCTGGGTAGGGAGGAGAGCAGGCAGAAGAGGAGGAAGCAGTAAGAAAGAGGGAGCACTAGAAGAACATTCTGTGGGCCAATGTCTTCTTTTCAGTTTTCTGACAAAAGCCATAGGTGATACGAAGCCATTTCTCATTCTCAGGATATACACAAGTCAGGTTCCACTGGCAGGGACACTCTCTATATTGGCCAAAGTATGCCTGGGAAAGACAGGACTTTGACCTTGACCTTGGAGGCAGTTCTTCCCTTAGCCCTTAAGCCCAGCCCAGCCCAACTCCAAGGCCCACGTGCTTGCCCACAGCCAGGAGCCAGGGATAAAGGATAGCTTGCCAGCTGCTCAGAGTGGTGCCTCTGGCTGCCTTCTCTAGGCTGGCGCCTGGATTGCTCAGTGCCCTCCCAGCTCCAGTCTTTGTCACCCTGCCTGCCACTGACCCATCTGGCTGTCCTAAGTCCATGGTGGGGCCTCTGAGGCTTGTCTTTAAATCCCTCTATGGGCACATCAACTCCCTCCCCAACACACCCAGCTCGGAGGCTGCCTCTGCCCATCCTCCACCAGGAACACCCGGGCCACAGCAGAACTCCTGGGCTAGATGAAGACGGGGTCTGGGGCAGAGGCCGGACCTAGCTGTGCCCATTTACTGTGCTACTTTCGGGTTTGCTGAGAGGACCCCTGGAGAATGAGAACCCACATTAGAGAGTGAAGCATCGCCTTCCCGCCCCCGTCCAAGATTCCAAGCCCCTAGGGTGGGCTCCCATATTGGTTCCGTCCACAGGCTCCCCCAGAGGGCTTGGAGGTGCAGTCCCACGGGAGAATTCCAGGCTCCAGGGCATTTCCCCCTACCTACGCTTCTTCCCTCCCCAGGAATCTGGGCCCACCCTGGTTCCCCCTTCCTCTCGATCCCCTCTGGCTCTCCCTGGGCGCCACCGATACCCACCTGCACTTGACACGAGCTGCCCTCGGACCCTTTCTCCGTGCAGTGCGCCTCGCAGGTTTTTGGAGCCTGGCGGCAGCACCCAGACTTGCAATCCTGATTCCGCTGGCAAAACTCCTTGAGGTCCTGCAGGGAGGGACACGGCCTCGCTCGGCTCCACTGCCTGCCTTCCGCCCAAGCCGCGCATTCCCGGGGCTTTCTCCCTACGGGGATCCTCCCCAGACTGCGTTCCTACCAACACCTCTGGCTCCTGCCAGGTAGGGCGGTCTCTACCTGGGGGCCGGGGTAAGTCTGTGCAGACAGACGGTGCCTGGAGAGGACTGAACAGTTTTTTAAAAAGTTTTCTCTTGGTGCCCTCAAAATAGGTTGTTTCTCATACACAGCAGGGTGGTCTAGACTTACCAATCTCTCACTTGCACTTTTCTGCTGCAGAGCCTTCTCTCCGGAAAACTCATACTTACTCTTTCACCTGTGCTTGATGGTCACCTACATGCATTCCCCCCCACCCCCGCCCACACACACGTCAATGACCTCCACCCAGTATTGGGGCTTAGGACATTAATTAACATTATTGATCACAGCCACCCATAATCTCTCTGTCTGACAATTTCAATAGTCATTCAACAGGCAAATACTGAACAGTGCCAGTCACTGGGAATGCAGCTGGAAACAACAAAAACAGAAGTCCCTGTCCACCTGCAGCTGACATTCTGGAGCAGTACTGTCCAGCAGAGCTTTCTGCAGTGATGAAAACGTGCTTTTTCTGCTCAGTCCGATAGCCACTAGCCACTAATGAGCACTTGAAATGCGGTAGTGCAACTAGGAGCTGAATTTAAATTTTTTTTTTTTTTGAGACAGAGTCTCTCTCTGTCGCCCAGGCTGGAGTGCAGTGGCCCAGTCTCAGCTCACTGCAACCTCCACCTCAGATTCTCTTTCCTCAGCTTCCCAAGTAGCTGGGATTACAGATGTGTGCCACCATGCCTGGCTAATTTTTGTATTTTTAATAGAGACACGGTTTTGCCATGCTGACCAGGCTGATCTTGAACACTGTCTCGCTTGGCCTCCCAAAGTGCTAGAATTTTTTTTTTTTTTTTTTGGACGAGGTCTCACTCTGTCACCCAGGCTGGAGTGTAGTGGTACAATTATGGCTCACTGTATCCTCAATCTCTGGGTTCAAGCAATCCCCCTGCCTTAGCCTCCCATGTCGCTGGGACCACATGCACACATCACCATGCCCAGCTAATTTTTTTTTTTTTTTTTTTTTTTTTGAGACGGAGTTTCGCTCTTGTTACCCAGGCTGGAGTGCAATGGCACGATCTCAGCTCACCGCAACCTCCGCCTCCTGGGTTCAGGCAATTCTCCTGCCTCAGCCTCCTGAGTAGCTGGGATTACAGGCACGCACCACCATGCCCAGCTAATTTTTTGTAGTTTTAGTAGAGACGGGGTTTCACCATGTTGACCAGGATGGTCTCGATCTCTTGACCTCGTGATCCACCCACCTCGGCCTCCCAAAGTGCTGGGATTACAGGCTTGAGCCACCGCGCCCGGCCGCCCAGCTAATTTTTAATTTTTTTTTGTAGCTAGGTTACAGGCAGGCATGTGCTGGGTAGTAGAGGGCTCTCCCCCACCCACCAAGAATGTCAGGTGATGGTTCAACAATGATCTCATTACCTCTCTAAAAATGATAATTTGGCAGCTAGGCTCCAGGGAGAGACCATCTCCTAATGGTCCACAGATGTTAACATTAAAGTGTTCATTGAATGCAGGGGCAGGGAGAAGCAAAATGGGCTTCCAATAAAATCTCAGGTGTCGGGCGAGTGAGCCCGGGAACGCACATTAAGAGAAAAAAATGGAGGAGTATGAACTTCCGGGGGCACACTCCACCAGAAAAGGGAAGAAAGCCTCAGATGGGCATGCATACAATTTCCTAAACACCCTGAGTGTGCTCACTTCCTAAGGGTAAGGACACTGCACACACGGGCAGCCCACCCTAAGGAAAGAATCAGGGGTGAGAGGCACATGACGCTGGAGGTGGGCCAGGCTGTAAAGGGCTAGAACCAAAATTAAACACTGCACTTGTTCTTCAAGTTGCCCACTGGGGACTCTTCCAAGTGTACTTTTCATTCTTTCCTGCTCTAAAGCTATTTAATAAACTTCCACTCCTGCTCTGAAACTTGCCTCAGTCTCTTTTTCTGCCTTATGCCCCTCAGTCGAATTCTTTCTTCTGAGGAGACAAGAACTGAGGTTGCTGCAAATGCATACAGATTCTCTGCTAGTAACTCAGATGCCTCCTACTAGTAACAGAGACAGGACTCTCGTTTTGTTGCCCAGGTTGGTCTTGAACGCCTGTGCTCAAACAATCCTCCCACCTTGGGCTCCCAAAATGTTGGGATTACAGCCATGAACCACCACACCTGGCCTGAATTTTAAATTTCGTTGAATTTTAATCAATTTAAATCTAAGTAACTACATGTGACTAGTATAAACTAAATATAAAATTTGAAGCCTCCCCTACCACCAATCTGCAACTATCTGAATGGACTCCCTCCTTGGCCAACGCACTCTAAAATTTAACCTGAAAACCTGGTTCAGGCCATGATGGGAAGTGGGGGTTGGATATGCCTCATTAATATCCTCCACCATTAACGTTAACAAAGACATTAAGTCTGATGAGAAACATGAACAATCTGTTTTCTTTTTCTTTTTCTCTTTTTTTTGAGACGGAGTTTTGCTCTTTTTGCAGGAGTGCAGTGGCGCGATCTTGGCTCACCACAACCTCCGCCTCCCGGGTTCAAGCGATTCTCTTGCCTCAGCCTCCCAAGTAGCTGGAATTACAGGCATGTGCCACCACATCTGGCTAATTTTGTATTTTTAGTAGAGATGGGGTTTCACCATGTCAGTCAGGCTGGTCTTGAACTCTTGACCTCAGATGATCCACCTGCCTTAGCCTCCCAAAGTGCTGGGATTACAGGTGTGAACCACTGTGCCCAGCCCAGATATTTTTTTAGGGTACATACTGTGTGATTTCATCATGCAAAGTTCAAAACTATAATAACAAAGGTCAAGAGACAGCTGCCTTTGGTGCTATTGACTAGGAGGAGTAAGAGTGAGCCTTTTGGGGTGCTGAAAATGCCCTATATCTTGTTCTGATGGTAGTGATGAGGGGGTCTGCATAGGTTCAAATCCATTAATTTCTATGTGAATTCAAGATTTGGGCACCTAGTAAGGTGTAATTTTTACCATATATATGTTATATATACAACAGTAAGTAATATTTATATTATATATGTATAATCCTACCTATTATGTATGATTATGTGCTATAAAGAAAATAGGCCAGGCGTGGCGGCTCATGCCTATAATCCCAGCACTTTGAGGGGCCGAGATGGATGGATCACCTGAGGTCAGGAGCTCGATATCAGCCTGACCACCATGGAGAAACCCCGTCTCTACTAAAAATACAAACTTAGGTGGGCGTGATGGCATGTACCTGTAATCCCAGCTACTCTGGAGCCTGAGGCAGGAAAATCACTTGAAGCTGAGAGGCAGAGGTTGTAGTGAGCCAATCGTGCCATTGCACTCCAGCCTGGGCACCAAGAGCCAAAAGCGAAACTCCATCTAAAAAAAAAAAAAAAAAGAAAGAAAAAGAAAATAAAGTCTGGGCACAGTGGCTCACGCCTGTAATCCCAGCACTTTGGGAGGCTGAGGTGGGCGGATCACTTGAGGTCAGGAGTTTGAGACCAGCTTGGCCAACATGGTGAAACCCCACCTCTACTAAAAATACAAAAATTAGCCACCCCTGGTGGCACATGCCTGTAGTCCCAGCTACTTGGGAGGCTGAGGCAGGAGAATGGCTTGAACCTGGGAGGCAGAGGTCGCAGTAAGCCCGGATCATGCCTTTGCACTGCAGCCTGGGTGACAGAGCAAGACTGCATCTCAAACAAAAAAGAAAAAAAGGAAAGAAAGAACGAATGAAAGAAAGAAAGAAAGAGAGAAAGAAAAGAAAGAAAAAGAAAGAAAAGAAAGAAAAAGAAAGAAAGAGAGAGATAGAAAGAAAGGAAGGAAGGAAGGAAGGAAGGAAGGAAGGAAGGAAGGAAGGAAGAAAGAAAGAAAGAAAGAAAGAAAGAGAGAGAGAAAGAAAGAAAGAACCAAGAGAGATCCAAGATGGCTGATCACTAGCAGCTCGGGATTGTAGCTCCCAGTGAAAGTGCAGAGAACGAGAGGATGCCACACTTTCAGACTAATTTTTGTTGCTCATGCACCAGGAGATTCCCAGCGGAGGAGCCCCACGGGTCGCCAGCAACTCTTGTGGCCAGCGAGGTGGTTTTGCTGCTGCCTTGGTGTAGCGGTTCTTGGTGCAGAGTCAGAAAAGCACCATCAATCAAGCTGCTGTTTTGGCCGGCGTAGTGCTGGGAATCAACAAGTTGGACGTCCACTCAGAAACCCAATTATAAAGACGGTAATTATAAAGACTACAGATGGATAAATTTATAACGAAGGGAAGAAACCAGCCTAAAAAGGCTGAGAATACCCAAAATCAGAATGCCTCTCCCTCTGCAGGGGATCACAGTTCCTCATCAGCAATGGAACAAGGCCTGTTGGAGAATGAGTGTGTTCCATTAACAGAAGTAGGCTTCAAAAGGTGGATGATAAGAAACTTCTGTGAATTAAAAGAACTTGTTCTAACCCAATGCAAAGAAACTAATAACTTTGAAAAAAGATTTGACGAAATGTTAACAAGAATACACAATTTAGAGAGGAATATAAGTGAAATCAATGGAGCTGAAAAACACAACACAAGAACTTCGAGAACTATGCATAAGTTTTAACAGCCAAATCGATCAAGCGGAAGGAAAGATATCAGAAGTCGAAGATCAACTTAATGAAATAAAACGAAAAGACAAGATTAGAGAAAAAAGGATAAAAAGGAACAAGCAAAGTCTCCAAGAAATATGGGACTATGTGAAAAGACCTAATCTACGTTTGATAGGTGTACCTGAATGTGACGAAGAGAATCAATCCAAGCTGGAAAATACGCTTCAGAAAGAAAGAAAGAAAAAAGGAAAACTTTCCCAACCTAGCAAGGCAGGACAATATTCAACTCCAGGTAATACAGAGAACACCACAAAGATATTCCTCAAGAAGACCAACCTCAAGGCACATAATCGCCAGATTCACCAGGGCTGAAATGAAGGAGAAAATACTGAGGGCAGCCAGAGAGAAAGGTCAGGTTACCCATAAAGGGAAGCCCATCAGACTCACAGCAGATCTCTCAGCAGAAACCCTACAAGCTAGAAGAGAGTGGGGGCCAATATTCAACATCCTTAAAGAAAAGAACTTTCAACCCAGAATTTTACATCCAGCCAAACTAAGCTTCATAAGCGAAGGAAAAATAAAATCTTTTGTGAACAAGCAAGCACTCAGAGATTTCATCACCACCAGGCCTGCTTTATAAGAGCTTCTGAAAGAACCACTACACATAGAAAGGAACAACCAGTATCAGCCTTTCTAAAAAATACCAAAAAGTAAAGAGCATCAACATAATCAAGAATTTACATCAACTAATAGGCAAAACAGCCAGCTAACATCAAATGGCAGTATTAAACTCACATACATTATTATTTATTCTAAATTTAAATCGACTAAATCCCCCAATCCAAAGACACAGACAGGCAAAAAAAGCCAAAACCCTTCGGTATGCTGCATCCAGACCCATCTCACATGCAAGGATACACAAAGACTCAAAACAAAGGGATGGAGAAAGATTTACCAACCAAATGGAGAGCAAAAATAAATAAATAAATAAAAAGCAGGAGTTGCTTTAAAGCAACAAAGATCAAAAGAAGCAAAGAAGGATATTACATAATGATAAAAGGATCAATGCAACAAGAAGAGCTAAAGATCCTAAATATATACGCACCCAATACAGGAATACCCAGATATATAAGACTTATAAAGAGACTTAGACTCCCACACAATAATGGTTGGAGACTTCAACATCAATATTAGACAGATCAATGAGACAGAAAATTAACAACGATATCCAGGGTTTGAACTCAGATCCGGAACAAGTAAACTTAATTAACATTTATAGAACTCTCCACTTTAAATACACAAAATACACACTCTTATCAGTACCACATCACATCTATTTACAGGTTTCAATGAAATATTGGTTGGCTGCTTGTTTTGTAATTTTCTTCCCTCATTTTTTTTTCATGCCTCTATTATTAAGGACAATTATAGGCATACCCATTTTTAGACTGCATTCTAGCCCGGGCAGTAAAGCAACACCCCCGTTCTCTCTCCCTCTTCCTCTTTCTCTTTCTTCCTCTCCTTCATTCTTTTTTCTTTCTTTTTTTTTTTTTTCAGATAAATAAATAAATAAATAAATGAAAGAAAGAAAATAAGCAGGAAAGGAGTGGATTGGCCCATAGCTGCCTCCCGGGCTCCCTTCTTACATGCTTATCAGTGACCTCCCCCAGGTGCCCCTCACCTTCCCCATTCTCACTTCCACCTCCCCAGCCTCCTCAGGTCAATTCTTCCCAGAACAGCTAGAGGTGTCTTTTTAAAAAGGTAATTCCCACAAAGTCATTCTCTGAATTCAAAGCCATTACAGGGGTTCTGAATCCACACCTGGCCTGGCCCCAGGGCGTTAGTGCTTGCTGGCCCTCTGCCCAGAGGACCCTGTCCTGTACTCTTTGCCTGGCTGCCTCCCTCTCCTGCCTCCGGCTGAAGCCTTCCTGGACACCAGTGGAGCAGTCCCCATCACCTGGTTGTACTTTAGTCACAACACTTATGTCTCTCTGAAATCATCTTATTTATACATTTAAAAAATCATTTATGGCCGGGCTCGGTGGCGCATGCCTGTAGTCCCAGCTACTCAGGAGGCTGAGGCTGGAGGATCTCTTGAGCCCAGGAGTTCCGGGCTGTAGTGCGCTATGCCGGTCAAGTGTCCGCACTAAGTTTGGCATCAATATGGTGACCTCCTGGGAGCGGGGAACCACCCAGGTTGCCTAAGGAGGGGTGAACCGGCCCAGGTCGGAAACGGAGCAGGTCAAAACTCCTGTGCTGATCAGTATTGGGATCGCGCCTGTGAATAGCCACTGCACTCCAGCCTGGGCAACATAGCGAGACCCTGTCTCTTAAAAAAAAAAAAAAAGAAAAAAAAATCATTTATCTCCCCCTGCTAGGAACCTCAGCTCTAGGAAACAGATCTGCTCTCATGTTCACTGCTGTATTTCTCAGCCCCTTGGACTAAAGTCCTTACACTTTGCTATTCCTTGAATATGCCGGCACATTTCCACCCCTAGACGTTTGCCCTGGCTGTTCCCTCCACCTGGAATGTTCTCATTCCAGAGACCTGCCTGCTTTGCCGTTAGGAAGGACCTCCCTTTAGGTCTTTGCTAAAATTTCACATTCTTAGTAAGCTCTTCCCTGAGCACCCCATTTAAAACTGCAAACCCTGGCCAGGCGGAGTGGCTCACGCCTGTAATCCAGCACTTTGGGAGGCCAAAGTGGGTGGATTGCTTGAGGTCAGGAGTTGAGACCAGCCTGACCAACACAGTAGAACCCCATCTCTACTAAAAGTACAAAAAAAAAAAAAATAGCTGGGCGTGGTGGTGGGCAAGTATAATCTCAGTACTCGGAAGGCTGAGACAGGGGAATTGCTTGAACCCAGGAGGCAGAGGTTGCAGTGAACTGAGATTGCCCCACTGCACTCCAGCCTGGGTGACAAAGCGAGACTTCATCTCAAAACACAAACAAAACACCTGCAAACTCTTCTCCCACCACCACTCCCATAGCCCATTTCTGATTTTCCCTTTTCTTGCATGTTTATCACCTGAGATAAATATTAACATATCTTACTTCTTTGCCTCACACACTAGAGTGACAACTCCACAAGGGCAAGGATTTTTACCTTTCTTGCTTACAGCCATATCCCTAAATGTAGAAAAATAATTTACATATAGTAGGTACTCAATAAAATGTGTTGTATGAGTGAATATGTGTCTCCGTTACCACATGTGCACATGAGCGGGGCGGGGGGTCTCTCTCACACTCACCTCTGTGGCAGCAGCACCTGGCACTGCCCTGGCACAGCTCCCAGGACCAGGGTGTTTTCTCTTTCCTCCAAGACATCCTCCACGCAACACTCCCTGCTGCCCCCACTTCTGGACTTCTCCCATACCAGCCCCCATGCCCACTCACCTCCCCAAACAGTCCAGGACAGTAGAGGAGGAGGTGACCGCACTCTCCAGCTTTCTTACCAAAAGCTTGTTTGTTGAAGAAAGCGAACCCCTGGTGAGGACGAAGAGAAAGGAGGGGAGAAGGAGCAGCAGCAGCCACTGGGGTAGCATCATGGCCCACAGGTGGTGGTGGCTTTTCCAAGGTCCAGCTAAATAACCTGCACACCGACCGTGTGGGTGTCCTCCGGGCTGTGGGAACACCAGGCAAAAGCAGCACCCGACGCTGTCAGAATTTTCCCATCCTGCACAAAGCTCGGGCTAGGCCAATCAGCAAATTCCACCACAAGGTTTAGTTCAGGCAGACTAAGCCAATCCAATCAGGACCGATCTTAGGATGTTTGCTGAGAATTGTGGAACAGAGATGTTTTCTTTCTCTGCAAGGAACAGTATGAATGTACAAGGTGCAGTTAAGAGCCTGGCCTCTGGGGCAGGATTGTCTGGGTTCAAGTCTCAGCTCCAACCCTTACTCTAGGAGCCTCAATAACCTGTCTGTGAAACAGGGATAATTATAACACCTACTATGCACCTGTTGTGACAGAAAGATGAGTCAATACAGTTAAGAAACCACTTTGGGCCAGGCACAGTGGCGCATGCTTGTAATCCCAGCACTTTGGGAGGCTGAGGCAGGCGGATCACTTGAGCCCAGGAGCTCGAGACCAGCCAGGGTAATATAGTGAGACCCTGTCTCTATTAAAAAAAAAAAAAAGAGAGAGAGAGAGAGAGACCAGGAGAGGTGGCTCATGCCTGTAATCCCAGCACTTTGGGATGCCAAGGTGGGCAGATCACCTGAGGTCAGGAGTTCAAGGCCAGCCTGATCAACATGGAGAATCCCCATCTCCACTAATAATACAAAAATTAGCGGGGCATGGTGGTGCAGGCCTGTGATCCCAGCTACTCAGGAGTCTGAGGCACAATAATCACTTGAACCCAGGAGGCAGACGTTGTGGTGAACTGAGATCAAGCCATTGCACTCCAGCCTGGGCAACAAGAGTGAAACTCTGTCTCAAAATAAGAAAAAAAAAAAAAAGGAAATAAAAAGGAAAAAAATTATCTGGGCATGGTGGCACACACCTACAGTCCCAGTTACTTGGGAGGCTGACATGGAGGATCCCTTGAGCCCAGGGGCTTGAGGCTGTAGTACTCTGTGATCGAGCCACTGCACTCCAGCCTGGATGACAGAGTGACACCGTGCCTCAAATTATTAAATTAAATAAAAAAGAAAGTACTTTGCACAGTTTCTGGAACATAGGAAGTGTTCCGTAAATCCTACCTGTTTTATCAGATGACACCTGGAACTTTTGTGACTAAAGGGAAGGAATTCAGCCTGAGAGCTGCTGGCTCTGGCCCTACCTGAGGGCTGCCCGACCTACAGGCTTCCGTTTCTGATCACCAATAAATCCCCTCCTCACCTAGACCAATTTGGGTTGGGTTTTCAGATATTTTGCAGCAGAAGAGACCTCACTGCTACCCAATGATCATTATGTGACCTAGGGCAAGTCACGTGGCTTCTCTGAGCCTCAGTTTCTTTGTCTATGCAGTGGAACCGATGATGCCTGAGAGAGCGGAGGCATGGAGGCACACGTCCCCTTCCCCCACAGGCATTTTCACATTTCTGCAGCACACATTCCCACCAGCTCTCTCATGACCTCTACCCTTTTGCTCCCCTCCACACGCCCGGCAGAACATTCAGATACCTCCACTTAGTCTCTCCCTACACACACCCCTCCGCAGACACCCCAGCAATCCGGCCTCTTCCACATAGCCCTCCAGCCCCCTGCTCTCCCACACCCTCCCTGTGCCATTCCCTTCCTGCATTTCTACCCTGAGCTCCAGACAGGGCCAAACCCCATGAGAAGCTCATTCACGCCTCCAGTCTCCCCTTTTGCCTGCCCCCTAGATTGATACAATCTCCACCAGGTCCCCTCGCCCAGAAAGTACAGACAGAGGCCAGGGCCAGGAAGTGACTTTAATGTCTCAGGAGCTGGATTTGGAACAAGTTGGTGGTGCCCAGGGCCTCCGGCCCCAAGGGAGCAGTGACCAGCCTGCATCTTCCTCTAAATCATATGGCACCGGCGGGAACACATCAAATCCTCGGATGTGCACCTCAAGCCCACTCGGCAAGGGCAGATGATGTTGATGGCTCCCTTGGTCTGCAGGGCGTGGGTATGAGAACTGGGTGTCACCAGGATGCAGGAAGGATGGGGACTTCAACTTCTCAGGGACCAGAACCAAGAGTACCAGGGCTGGAGTAAGACAGGCCTGCGCTGTTTCTACAGCTTATAACTGCGTGACCTTCAGTAAGTCAATGAACCTCTCCAGCTCAGTTTCCTCATCTGTCAAATGGGGACAGTAACAATAACCTACCTCATAGGGTTGTTATGAGGACTAAATGAAATAAAGCAGATCAAGTGGCCGTAATAACAAGACCCTCTAGGCCGGGCGTGGTGGCTCACACCTGTAATCCCAGCACTTTGGGAGACTGAGGCAGGTGGATCACCTGAGGTCAGGATTTCAAGACCAGCCTGGCCAACGTGGTAAAACTCCATCTCTACTAAAAATAAAAAAATAGCTGGGCGTGGTGGTGCACGCCTGTAATCGCAGCTACTCCACAGGCTGAGGCAGAGGAATCGCTTGAATCTGGGAGGCAGAGGTTGCGGTGAGCCAAGATCACGCCATTGCACTCCAGCCTGGGCAACAAGAGCAAAACTCCATCTCAAAACAACAAAACCCTTTAGCCACTTCAGCTGTATGCCACAGCAGGGGCCCTGCTGCTTCCTTAGGGCATTGGCAACTCGCCACACAGGGACACGGAGGCTGGGCCCATGGTTAGGTCCATCCACCCCGGAAAGGTTTGGGCCCAGGGCCAGGAGAGAAGGAACAGGGGATACTGAGCATTCTGCTCCCTGCATTCCTAGCAGTGAGTGATGACCTTGCTGCACTGCACACTGTCCTTGCCAGGACCACGTAATCTTCCCAACAGCCTGGTGAGGTAGGTACTTTAGCCTCTCCTTGTAGATGAGGAAACTAAGGCTCAGAGAGCCATGGTGGCCTGCCTGAGTTTGCAAAAGTAGGGTGTCGAAAGTCAGGATTTAAACTCAGGTCCAACTCCAAAGCTGTGGTCCTGCTCTTCTCAAGAAATCATGTCGGCCGGGTGTGGTGGCTCACGCCTGTAATCCCAACACTTTGGGAGGCCAAGTCAAGCAGATCACCTGAGGTTGGGAGTTCAAGACCAGCCTGAATAACATGGAGAAACCCCATCTCTAATTAAAAAAAAAAAAAAAAATTAGCTGGGCATGGCGGTGCATGCCTGTAATCTCAACTACTCTGGAGGCTGAGGCAGGAAAATCGCTTGAACCCAAGAGGTAGAGGTTGCTGTGAGCAGAGATGACGCCATTGCACTCCAGCCTGGGCAAGAAGAATGAAACTCTGTCTCAAAAAATCATGTCCCTGTGGCAGGGAGATGGGGACTAGTAAGGGGAAGGTCATTTCCCACTTACCCTGCCTCAGTGATGTGAAAGAAGAGATACTCATTCATTCAACAAGCATTAATTGGCTAGGCGAGGTGGCTCATGCCTGTGATCCCAGCACCTTGGGAGGCCGAGGCAGGTGAATCACCTGAGGTCAGGAGTTTGAGACCAGCTTGGCCAACATGGCAAAACCCCATATCTACCAAAAATATGAAAATTAGCTGGGCATAGTGGTGCATGCCTGTAATCCCAGCTACTTGGGAGGCTGAGACACGAGAATTGCTTGAACCAGGGAGGCAGAGGTTGCAGTGAACCAAGATCGTGCCATTGCACTCTAGCCTGGGTGACAGAGCAAGACTCCATCTCAAAACAAACAAATGGCTGGGCGCGGTGGCTCAAGCCTGTAATCCCAGCACTTTGGGAGGCCGAGGCGGGTGGATCACGAGGTCAAGAGATCGAGACCATCCTGGTTAACACGGTGAAACCCCGTCTCTACTAAAAATACAAAACATTAGCTGGGCATGGTGGCACGTGCCTGTAATCCCAGCTACTCAGGAAGCTGAGGCAGGAGAATTGCCTGAACCCAGGAGGTGGAGGTTGCAGTGAGCCGAGATCGCGCCATTGCACTCCAGCCTGGGTAACAAGAGCGAAACTCCAAGCCGGGCGCGGTGGCTCAAGCCTGTAATCCCAGCGCTTTGGGAGGCCGAGGCGGGTGGATCACGAGGTCAAGAGATCGAGACCATCCTGGTCAACATGGTGAAACCCCGTCTCTACTAAAAATACAAAAAATTAGCTGGGACTACAGGCACG